GTTTTCTGTTGATGTGCTGTTCCAGTCATTTTTGGATAATCTTCAGCAGGATTTTGCTAGTGTGTGATAGTAGTGATATTGTTCGATAATTTCTACATTCTGTCAGATCAGCTTTCTTTGAAATTGGAACCAATTTAGATCTCTTCCAGTCAGTTGGCCAGGGGATTGTCCTCCAGATTTCTTGGCACAAGTTGATGAGCACATCTAGAGCAGCAGCTGTTTGCTGAAATATATCAATTGGTATACCATCAATTCCTGGGGTCTTAGTTTTTGCCAGTTCTTTCAGAGAAGCTTGAACTTCTTCCTTAATCACAAAAGGCTCATGCTCATACATTGTTTCATGAAATTCTTCATTGTGTGACAATTCCTTTTGGTACAATGACTCTGTATACCCTTTCTATCTTCTTTTAATACTTCCTGGATCATTTAATATTCTCCCCAAAGCATCCTTAAGTATTGCCACTCAATGCTTGAGTTTGTTCTTCAGTTACTTGAGCTGAAGAAATGCTGAGCCAAGAAAACTGCTAGACATAGTTGACCAATTCAGCAAAGTGGCAGGATACAAGATCAAAATTTAAAAAAATCAATTGGATTTCTCTACAGTGACAAAGAGAATACAGAACAGAAGCTAAGAAAAACAATACCCTTCACAACAGCTAATCACAAGATTAAATTCTTGGGAGTAAATCTAACCAGAAACACAAAGGATCTATTCAAAGAAAATTACAAAACATATTACAAGAAACAAAGAGACCTGGAAAAATTGAAGAATATACCTTGCTCTTGGAGAGGAAGACTCAATACTGGGAAAATGACAATACTTCCAAAGGCAATTTACACGTTCAATGCAATCCCAATACAAAACCAATTCTATTCTTCAAGGAGATATAAAAAGCAATCTTCAATGTAATTTACAATGGTAAGAGACCCCGAATAAGCAATGCACTCCTTAAAAAGAGGAACAAGGTAGGAGGCATCCCACTCCCTGATTTCAAATTCTATTACTCTGCTGTGGTCGTCAAGACAGCGTGGTACTCATACAATGACAGACACATAGATCAATGGAACCTAATTGAGAACCCAGATATCAGCCCGTCTACCTATGGCCAGCTGATTTTTGACAAGGAGATGAAATCAGTTGAGTGGGGAAACGACAGCCTTTTAAACAAATGGTGTTGGCAAAATTGAAAAACTATCCGCAGAAATCCCAAGCAAGATCCACACCTCATACCATATACAAAAACCAACTCAAAGTAGATAAAGGACTTATGACTAAAACCAAGGACTATAAATTTCATTAGATAAAAGCTTGGAAGAACTCTAGCCCTAATCCAAAAAATGAACGGTCTCTCAAGCATCCTGAAAAACCTACAACCAGGAGAGAATAAAATGTATGAATGAGACCTTCCAAGAATCAAATCCCTATGCACATCCAAAAATTTCTCCAATATGGTAAAAAGGAAAGCCACAGACTGAGAAAAAAAAATACATATGGTAATGACATGTCTGATAAGGAACTTATATCTAGAATTTATAGAATACTCGAACACCATATAAGATAAAGGTAAACAACCCACATCAAAAAATGGGCACAGGATAGGCACAGACATTTCACCAAAAAAGACAATAAGATGGTGAATAAACACGTAAAGAAATGTTCAAAATCCCTGGCTCTAAGAGAGATGAAAATCAGAACAACTAAAAGATATCATCTCACCCCAGCAACAGGAGGAAAATTCAACAGAGCAACAAACAACAAATGCTGGTGAGGTGGTGGAGAAACTGGAACCCTTATTCACTGTTGGTGGGAGTGTAAAATGGTGTAACCACTGTGGAAGGCAGTATGGCGCTTTCTCAAAAAGTCGGCAGTAGAAATATCATTTGACCCAGCAATTCCACTATTGGGAATATACCCTAAAGAAACCAGAACTGCCACCCAAGCAGATATATGTACACCTAAGTTTATTGTGGCTTTTTTTCACAGTAGCAGAGTTGGAAACAACCCAAATGTCCATCAACAAACTGAATGGATAGAGAAGTTGTGATATATTCACACAATGGAATATTATGTAGCATTTAAAAACAAGGAACTAATGAAATATTATAGAAAATGGGTGACCCTAGAGGACATTATGCTGAGTGAAATATCTTAGTCACAAAAGTTCAAATACTGCATAATGCCGCTGTTGTGAAACAGGACTGACATCGGGATTGGGGAAAACTAAGAAAAGAGGGGATAATGTACTCTGCATTGAAACCCAAGAGGGAGAAAACTGTTTAAAAAGAGTATATGATTAGGTATTATTTGCATGACAAGAATCCAAAATAAGAGCTATGTAGTAAAATAGATTGGGAGGGGCGATTGTATAACAATGAAAGAAAAAAAAATTTTTTTCAAAGAGAAAAGCAAACTGGGGGGATGGTTGGGCAGGGAGGAAAATGTGCAACAATGAATGCATAGAAATCCAAGTCCTCTATAATCTTTCATTAAAATCTCAATTTAAAAAAAAAAAGAATGACACAAAGCTTAAAATTTTCCAAGGATCACAACAGCCCAGAATAAAAGGTATATTGCAAAGAGGACTGGGGAGGGGTGAGGAAGGTAATTGTGCACCAATAAACAAATATTTTTAGAAAAAGAAACTGGGGGAGGGGAAAGGGAGGAAGAGAGAGTAAAATGTGCAATGATAAATGAATTAAAATCTAACTTTTCTGTAAAATACAAAGGAAAGAAATGATGAGCAAGTTTGGCCCTTTTGATTTTCTGACTCCAGTTCTTTAGCACATTTCATTATAATACATGTCTTCCCACGCTGCCTTTCTTTCAGCTCCTTAACACGTTGCCACACACTTTTTAAATTGACGACTGTGCTTAGAAATACATTTGCCGTCATTTGCGGCAACGTGTTAATACCATGATCTCTTCCCTTTGCTTTGGCTTCTTGGAACTCTAGTGCAATACTCAGAGTCTCTCTTCTGACATTCATTTTGGTCTTTTCTTCCTCCTCCATGTTTGTAATGACCGTTTGCATTCTTCCTAATGATATTCTTGATATCCTCCCACAGTTCATCTGGCTTTCCATTCGTTAGTGCTCAAGGCTTCAAACCTATTACTAAGATGGTTTTAAAATTCAGGTGGAATAGACTCAAGGTCATAATTTGGTTCACATGGATTTGATTTAATTTTCCATAGCTTCAGCTTAAACTCAATTTTCTAGATATGCATTAAATACGTTCCAAAAGAAAGTAAAAATAGAGACAGGAGTATGCCAGGGCCTATAGACTTCTATTCCCCAATCTATTAAAACGTTTTTTTTATTACTAATTTCAATGAACATTTACAGCGATTTTGGATTTCCATTCACTCATTGTTGCACTTTCGTCCCTACCCACCCCACCCCCACCCCCAGTTCGCTCTTCTCTTTGAAAAGTAAAAGGAAAAATTCCTTCATTGGTATACAATCCCCCCACACTCCGAGTATACTCCACTCTGCAACCTTCATTCCGGACTCTTCTGATAATCATAATGCCCTATAATATATTGCTTTTAAACTGTTCTCTTCCTCATTCATTTCAATACAGTATACATAATTCATCCAGTTTTTCTCATTCTTAACCTAACCCTGATGTCAGTCCCATTCTACAGCAGTGGCACTATGTAGTGCAATCTATTAAAATATTTTTTATTCTTATCAGATCCAGTATCCTGAGGACAGAGTCCTAAGCAGTTCCTGCTTAGCAATGAAATCATTTAACTCAAGATGGAAATCTTTGAAAACAAACAGCACAGTTCAAATGTTTAAACCCACTCTATGGGAAGACCTGGGAGAGCACTGAAGTCCTAGAATAAATATGTTTTAGAAAAGGTACTGAAATTATTCCAACCTCCTGGAAGATATAAATATTACCTAACAGCTTTCCTGTAAAACTTCAAAATGAAACCAATTTGTACAATAAAGACTATAAATAGAACACCATATGCCCTAATTTTTTTTTCAACTGTACACTAACAGCACATTAAATTCTTCCTAAGAAAGGCAGGGTTGTGAAAAACTTAGGAATTATACCTTTAAAAGTACTCAAATAAAACCAAAAGATAACCTAATGCAAGGTTTGCAAGATTTTAGGTTCTTTTTTATAGCTTTTAATTAAAAGAATGTGGGTAAAATAACATTTAATAATAATGTCTATAAATCTTTAGAATTAGAAGCATTTGTTATATCATACAGCTGAATAACACCTGTGCACCAAGCTGCTATTGGCTACTGACCCTGGGGACAATTATGTATCTAACCAAGTTAGTCTCCAGAGCTCCAGAGTCCTTTTTCTATCTTTTTTTGCCCTCACAGTGCTCTTTTCCTCCTGCTCACATGCCAATTCTCTAGCATCTGAAAATCTTTCTTCATAGTCAACAAACCAAAAATAGCCATGGAGATTATCTAAATCCAGTGCTAGAAACAAGCAAGTTGAGGCCAGAGAGTTAAAGTGATTTATGTAAAGCCACAAAGATAAAAGGTAAATATGAGACCAGAACTAGACCTCTGATATCCTATGCAACGTTCTGCCCACTATCCCACTGTGACTCTAAAAAACTACTAAAGGTCTGATAATTACACGTGCATGCACAGGCTTCAATCTCTCCTCTCTGTGCCTTTTCACTCTTGGTGCAATAAATCCTCAACTATGAGTCATCAATAACATTTTTAGTAATCCAAGATCCTTTAAAAAAAAACAACAAAAGATTCAGTATTCACTTACACTAACTGATATACTTCCTTATATAAAAGTTATTATTTTTAGTAGTTGTCCTTTAAAATAAAAATTTTTTAATATTTCTTAAAATCAGTATATAAAGCTGAATAAATTGTATCTACAGTTTCAATTCAGAAAAAGCCCTATAGAATGGTAGACTTGCTTTTCATAAAGCAAGCTAGAACATTTGTTTCATTTCCTGAAAGTAAAAGCCAGAAAGTGCTTATCAATTCTGTTTTATTACTCACCACAAAAGTGATCTGATTATGTCTCAGATTAAGTTCAGTCAACGAATCCAGTCCATTAAGATTATCAACATGACTTAAAAGGTTTCTGGCAAGGTTTAAAACTCTCAAATCACACAGATGATTGACATTTTCAATTTTGGTGATCTATTAAAAAATGGAGAAGGGGTGATTAGCTACATAAATTTCAGATACACATTATACCCTTAAAGAGAAAATATTCAACGTCATTGGATTTGTTAAGTTTATACAGGGACTTTAAAAATCAGCTTCCAATTCTTGTATTACAGATAATATGACTTCAACTGACTTGTGAAAATTGATTAGAAAAGTGTATTTTGAAATTTGACCAAAGTAAATATTTAAGGTAAATTTTACCAAATAATCCACAAATCTATCATTTGGGCATCTAAGTACTAAACCTTGGGCCATGACCCATAGATATAGTAAGGACACACACTACCTGCCTGAACAGAAATTGTCTGTGAGCTTATAACATTGCTTACAATGTTTTGACCAAGCAAATCTGCCCTCAAAAAAAGAGAGAAGAAAAAGGATTGGTAAGTAAGTTTCCCATGCTAATTCTACTTCCACTGCAGAGTGCTAAGAGCAGTTGGGAGCCTGAATGATAAAGAATGAAGAAACTAGGCACTGAAGTGGAGGGTGAGGACATACATTCTTTTTAGTGAGAGCCCTTCAGAGAAGAGATAGGTAGTAATTAGTCAGGGTGAATATAGTGAAGACAACTCTTTAGAACAAGGGGATTTCTTATTAGCTTAAAAATTCAACTTCTGGCTATTATATTTAGTAAATACTATCTATATTTCAGCTGGACAGTGACTAAGGATGGCAGAAGAATTGATGCCTTCAAATTGTGATAATGGAGAAGAGTCTTGAACATACCATGGACTGCCAAGAAAACAAATAGGTCTGTCTTGGAGAGAGTGAAACCAAGGTACTTCTTTGACACTAGGATTTTGAAGCTCCATATCACATACTTTGGGAATGTGGCCAGGAGAGACTGGCCCTTAGAGAAGGACATCATGCCCAGAAGGGTGGAGGGACAGTGCAGGAGAGGATGACCCCTGATGAGATGGATTGATACAGTGACTGGCGCAATGCGGGTTGGTGTGTCAGAATTAGTGAGGCTGTCTCAGGACAGGGCAAGGTTCAGAGCTTCTGTACATACGGTCATTATGGGTGGCAGGTGACTTGATGGCACATAACAACAACAACATATATAAATATATACTTTTGCAGTCAGAAATCAATCAAACACGCAACAAGGATGCACTAATAATAATGAGTAACTGGAATACAAAAGTTGGGAATGGAGAAGAAGGAGAGGTAGTCAGAAAACATGGACTTGGTGACAGAAATGATGGAGATAAAATAATAGAATTCTGCACAGTCGATGATTTTTTTCACTGCAAATACCTTTTATAAGAAACATAAATGGTGACTACATGGATCTCACCTGATGGTCTGCACAGGAATCAAACTAACTACATCTGTGGAAGGAATTGTTAGAGAAGCTCAGTATCACATGTGAAAACTAAGCCAGGTGCTGCTTGTGGAACAGGCTATCAACTACTCATATGAAATTTCAAACTAAAGCTAAAGAAAAGTAGGTCAAATCCACAAGAACCATAATTTGATCTTGAGTCTCTTCTACCTGAATTAAAAAATCATCTCAGGAATAGATTTATGGTCTTGAACACTAATGAGCAAAAGTCAGATAAGCTATGGGAGGATATATCAAGAATATTACCCATGAAGAATGCAAAAGGTCATTACAAAGACAAAGGAGGAGGAAAGACTTAGACAGATATTATAAGACACTTTGAATATTTCATTAGAGTGCTAGGAAATCAAAGCAAAGGGAAGAAATCAAGAAGTTGAGGATGTGAATAGAAGATTTCAAAGGCTGTCACAGAAAGCCAAAGTAAAGTATTATAATGAAATGTGCAAAGAGCTAGAGTAGATAAATCAAAAGGGTCAAGCTTACTCAGCATTTCTTAAGCTGAAGGAACTGAAGATTCAAGCCTGAGTTGCAATACTTAAGGATGCTGTGGGCAGAATATCGAATGATCCAGGAAAGAAAATGATCAAAAGAAGACGGAAGGAGTACACAAAGTCACTGTACCAAAAAGAACTGGCTGACATAAAAGTATTTAATGAAAAAAACTTATGTTTAAGAGGCAATGGTGATGAAGGGGGAAGTTTAAGCTGCTTTGAAGGAACTGGCAAAAAAATAAAGCCCTAGGAATTGACAGAATACCTACTGATATATCTCAACAAACAGACGTAGCCCTGGAAGTGCTTACCAGGCTGCCAAGAAATCTGGAGGACAACTACCTGGCTAACTGACTCGAAGAGATCCATATTTATTCTCATTCCAGAAAAAGGTGATCCAACTTAGTGTGGAAATTATTGAACAATAACACACATAGCATATGCATGAAAAATCCTGCAAGTGACTGGAACAGTACATTGACAGAGAATTATCAGAAATACAGTCTGGGTTTAGAAGAGGCTGTGGCACTAGGGACATCACTGCCACGTCAGATGGATCTTGGCTGAAAAAAGAGGAATGTCCATCTGTGTTTCATTGACTATGCAAAGACATTTGACTGTGTGGATCATAATAAATTGAGGCTAACCTTGAGAAGAATGGGAATCCCAGAACACCTGACTGTGCTCATGTTTTAGACTAGGAGGCAGTCATCAGAATAGAGCAAGGAAACAGTGCATGGTTCAAAAGCAGAAAAGGGATACGTCAGGGATGTGTCGCAGTCATCAGAATAGAGCAAGGAAACAGTGCATGGTTCAAAAGCAGAAAAGGGATACGTCAGGGATGTGTCCTATCCCCATACCTTTTCAAACTGTATGCGGAACAGATGCAGCGATAGGCTGGACTTTATGAGGAAGAATGTGGGATAAGGTTTGGGGAAGGCACATGAACAACCTGCATTACACAGATGAAACAACCTTACTTGCTGGACTGAGGAGAACCTGAAGCATCTGCTGCAGAGGATCAGGGGCTGTAGCTTGCAGTATGGATTTAAGCTCAACATCAAGAAAACAAAGATTCTCACCACTGGGGCAATTGGCAGCACTGTGATAGATGGAGAAGAGATTGAGATTGTTAGCAATCTCATCTTGCTCATTTCCACAACCAACACTCTTGGCACTAGCCATTAGGAACACAAAAGACAAACTGCATTAAGGAAATCTTCTGCCAGGGACCTCTCCTGAGTACTGATGAACAAGTATGTCAGTCTAGAGACTAAGGTGCCAGGCCATACTCTTCATAATCCCGTGCTATGATCTGGACAGTGACCAAGATGCCTGTAAGTTGTGGTATTGGAGAAGAGTTTTGAACATACCATGGATTGCCAAGGAACTAAATGATCTGTCAAGAACAGACTGAAACTCAGCTGCTCCTTGGAGGCAAGGATTTTGAGACTCTGTCTGACATATTTTGGGCATGTAGCCAGGAGAGGCCAGTCTTTGGAGAGGGATACCATGCTTGGAAGAATTAAAGGAAAGCACATGAGAGGAAAACATCAGATGAGATGGATTGACACAATAACTGGGTTAATGAAGGTAGACGTGTCAGAGGCAGTAAGATTGGCTCAGGATAAAGTATGGTTCAGACCTATTGTGCATAAAGTCACTATGAGTCACAAATGACTTGGTGGTACAACACAACAACATTATATATGTACCCATATTCCTTTATATTTTCCAATTTTAAAATATTTATCTAATCTGTCCTATTATCTTTTACCAGATTTATAAAATAAGCCAATTGTTTTCTGTTTTGAATTTCATTTCCTTCCACCTTCTTCCATTCCCTGAACCCTATTATCATTCCTCATAATGTTTGTACATCCATAAAACAATTACATTCACAATGTTCACCAAGCATCAGAACATTTTTTTCTTTTAAATAGAGGAAAATTAAAAAAAGCAAACACTTCATTTTGGGGAGTTTTTTATTAATTTTTAGAGGTAGATATTAATGGTTTAATCTTGAATAGATTATCTCCTGACAGTTTAGAAATACAGTCATCTAAGATGCCAATAGCAAATATTAGATGAAAATTTATATTACATTTTTAAATTAAAAACAGAAATACTAAACAATATATTCATTAGACACTAATAAGTTATTAGCTGCTGTCAAGTTTATGCTGACTTGTACAATGTAGCAAATGTTGTCTCACAAACAAGTCAAAGGCATAAGCTTGGAGTCACAATCTACTCCTAGCTGATTCTCCAGCATGTTTGCAAAGCTGTCAATTGCATGAGAGGAGACTGTTCATTTTTCCCTTGAGAATCAGCTAGTTAATTTAAAACCCAGATAGGTGCGGCCTTTTGGGTGAGCAGCACTGCTCTCTACAGACTACTCTACGAGAGCTTCCTAAATATTGCCTGGCCCCACACAATTCTCACAACTGGTCGTTTGTCCAAAAACATCATTCTGGGTACTGTATTAATCTATCTCAGCAAGGATTTCCCATGCCCTTTTTGGCCCTCTACTTCACCAAACATGAGGGCTTCCTTCAGCAAATGATCTTTCCTGATAATGTATCCAAAGAAAAAGAGCTAATGTGTTCTTTAGTGATCTATAAGGTTATCATTAGCTAATTTTCAGAAGTAGATGAACATGCTTTTATAACTAATCAATTATGATCTAGAAGCTCCACGGAAACTCAACTACCAAAAGTGATCCTACTGGCATTTAAAATACTTAGAACATACCTTCTAGATTTAGAGAAACAAGCTAGTCACTACAGGACAATAAACTGACAGATGCGAGTGGTGAAAACATACATATGTATGTGAAAAACATAAAAACCCACAGAGAAATAATAACATGAAATTGAGAATAGTGGTTATCTCTAACAAGGAAACATAGGAGGAGGGAAAAATATAAGAACTTAAGTGGAATAAAATAATTAATACTCTATTTCTTAAGTTGAAGTTATTTATAAAATAACAAAAGATCAAATAAGAAATAAAATTATCATAAGAATTAAAAATTTGTTGTCATTGACTGTCACATTACCAAATTTTACAGTCTTTGCTATCACTTGTTATGCATCAGAGAGTTGGACCATGACCAAGGAGGACAGAAGGAGTATTGATGCCTTTGAGCTGTGGTGCTGGAAAAGAGTATTGAGGGTACCATGGACTGCTTAGAAAACAAACAGATTCACCCTGGAGGCAAGGATTCTGAGGCTCCATCTAACATACTTTGGACATGTTGTAAGGAGAGACCAGTCCTTGGAGAGGGACATCATGCTTAGGAGGGTGGAGGGACAGTGCAGGAGGAGAAGGCCCTCTATGAGGTGGATTGATTCAGTGACTGGGGTAATTGGGATGGGTGTATAGGAGACAGTGTGATTGGCACAGGATAGAGCAGAGTTTAGGACTGTTGTACATAGGGTCATGAGTCACAAGCAACTGGACAGCACATAACAACAACAATAACAATAATAACATTACTTCAATCAATTGATAAAATAACTCTTGAAAAATTCAAATTAAATATAAAATTATTAAAATTTTTGTTCTATTAAATTTACTGCATTTTTTTCAAAATTAAAATTTCATAATACCTGATTTCCATGAAGATCCAAGACATCTAAGTTTTTCAAACTCTCCAGATTTGAGATTTTTCTAATTCTGAAAATGAGAAGGAAGAGAGTAAGTAAGTAAAATAGAAATAAGGATATATCATATCAGTTTGTAAATCATAATATGTTAAGGTGTAACTCATTTTAGCATATGACCATTCTATATACACTTTTAAAAAACCAAACACATTTACCATTGACTCTACTATAATTTTAAAAATACAGTCTCATTGGATAGAAAATAGTCCAATAATAGCATAAAATAACATGTTTGAAAATGAGCAAGTCTATCAGTAAAACTAAAGGCTGTTCTTTAAAATGGTAGTCACTAACCGAACTTATACAGGAAAGTGACAGGATTCAAATATCAAAATAAACAAGAGAGGTGATAACTGTAGCAGAACAAACTGAGGCAAAAAGGATAATTCAGGAATATTATAAAACTTGTGTTCAAACAACTGGAAACATTTCTACATATACACTATCTAAACTAACCAATACTAACGTAGAAAATGTAAATAAATGCATAAAAAAAGAAGAAATTGAAGGACTCATAAATTTTTTTTTAAAATTTCAAAACAAAAAACAAGCTATGCCCAGACACTTCCACCATATAATTACTTTAAACATTCACAAAAGAATTAATATCAATTTTACATTAACTTTCAGAAAAGAAAAAGGAAAAGGATATTACTGAATTAATTTTATGAAGCAAGCATAACTCTGACACCAAAACAGGCAAGAATAGAACTATAAAAAAATTATGGATATCCCTCATAAACATACATAGAAAATTTCTCAACAAAACTTTGGCCAACAGAATTTCACTGCATATTTCAAAAGCTTCTAATGACCAAGTAAAATTTATGAAAGATATACAAGTACATACATCTGGGCTATACGAGGAGGAATGTGGCATCAGGATTGGTGGAAGAATCGTTAACAACCTGCGTTATGCAGATGACACAACCCTGCTTGCTGAAACTGAAGAGGACCTGAAGCACTTGCTGCAGAAGGTCAAGGACTGCAGCCTTCAATATGGATTGAAGCTCAATATCAAGAAAACAAAGATTCTCACCACTGGGCCAATTAGTGAAGAGATTGAGACAGTTAACAGTTTTAGTTTACTTGGTTCCACAGTCAACACTCTTGATACCAGCAGCCAGGAAATTAGGAGACGAATTGCACTGGGAAAGTCAGCTGTGAGGGATCTCTCAAGAGTACTGAAGAGCAACAACCTCAGGCTGGAGACTAAAGTGAGCCTGATCCAGGCTACAGTTTTTGCAGTTACGTGCTGTGTAATGGAGAGTTGGACAGTGAATATGGATGGTAGAAAGAGAATTGATGCTTTTGAGTCGTAGTGCTGGAGAAGAGTGTTGAATATACCATGGACTGCTAGGAGAACAAACAGGTTTGACCTGGAGAGGGTGAAGCCAGAATGTTCCCTGGAGTCAAGGATTCTGAAGGTTCATCTGACATACTTTGGGCATGTTTCATGGAGGGACTGGCCCTTGGAGAGGGACATCATGTTTGGGAGAGTGGAGGAACGGCGCAGGAGAGGAAGACCCTCGATGAAGACCCTCGATGAGATGGATTGATTCTGTGAATGGAGTGGTGGGAATGAATGTGTTTGAGACAGCGAGGTTGGCACAGGATAGAACTGCATTTAGGGCTCTTTACATAGGGTCGCTAGGAGTTGCAAACGACTCAATGGCACACAATAACAACAACAACAACATACAAGTATGTTTAACATTAGAAAAATCAATCCATATAATTCACAACATAAATAAAATGAAGAAGAATCATAAAATCATCTCAACCAGAAAAATCATTTCAACAGAAAAGACATTTAATAAAACCATATATCTTTTACTAATAAAAACTTTGAGCAAAATAAGAATGTATAGATTAGTGAGTATACACAATTGGGAGCTGCACTGTTGAAAGTTGGTGCTTCCCTGAACTTTTTTTAAAAATAGATATTTTAATGAAAGTTTATAGGAAAATTGGATTTCCAATCATTTAGTTTTGCATATTTTCCTACCTTGACTGCTCAGGCAGGAATAACAAAATTCAACAAAGCAGCAAACAACAAATGCTGGTGATGCTGTGGAGAAACTGGAACACTTATTCTCTGTTGGTGGGAGGGTAAAATGGTACAACCACTATGGAAGGCAGTATGGTGCTTTCTCAAAAAGTTGAAAATAGAAATACCATTTGACCCAGCAATTCTACTACTGGGAAGACACCCTAAAGAAACCAGAACTGCCACCCAAGCACATATATGCAGACCCATGTTTATTGCTGTTTTGTTCACAATATCAAAGAGATGGAAATAACCCAAGTGCCCATCAAAAAACGAATGGATAGAGAAGCTATGTTATGTTCACACAATAGAATACCATGCTGCACTGAAAAAAGGAACTAATGAAATATTCTAGAAAATGGGTGACCCTAGAGGACATTTATGCTGAATGAAATATCTCAGTCACAGAAGAATAAATGCTGCATAATGCCACTGTTATAAAGCAAGACTGATATTGGTGGTTGGGGAGAAACTACAAAAAGAGGGGATAAATAATATACATTGCATTGAAATAGATGAGGGAAAGAACTGTTTAAAAGGAATGTATGATCAGGTATTATCTGCATGACAACAGTCCAGAATAAGAGCTGCATAGTAAAGTGGACTGGGGTTGAGGTGGAGAAGTGAACTGGGGAGGGGCAAGGAGGAAAATGTACAATAATGAAAAAATGGAAATCCAAGCTCTCTATAAACTTTCATTAAAATCTCGACTTTAAAAAAATTATTACTTAGCTTGGGAGGGACTGGAGAGCATTATGCTGAGTGAACTAACTCAGTCCCACAAGAACAAATACTGTATGAAATCATCATTATAGAATCAGTATGAAGTGGGTGAGGGTGGAAGTGGAGGGATGAGGATATGGGGAGCTGGGATGTGGGCGGGGGTGGTGCGGGAGATTAATCATGGGGTTGTACAATGGGTGGGGAGGTGACGGAAACTGTAAGAATCTGATTTGAAAAACAATGTACTTGAATTTCGTTAGTATAATAAAAAATAAGAAGATTAAAAACAAACAAAAAACACCAGCATATTACTGGTACAATGACAGACACATAGACCAATGGAACAAAATCAAGAACACAGACATGAACTCATCTACCTATAGTCAACTGGTATTTGACAAGGAAACAAAACCTATCAAATGGAAAAACACTAATCTCTTCAACAAATGGTGCTGGCTAAACTGAATGACTACCTGCAGAAAGCTGCAGCAGGGTTCACATCTCACACCACACACAAAAATTAACTCAAGGCAGATCAGAGACTTAGAAGTAAAGCCCCAAAACATAAAGATCATAAGCAACAAAATGGGACCAAAATTAGAAGGCCTAGCCTACAGTATAAACATGCTGGCAAATACAACCAGAATGCATAAACAGGATAAGGTCATATCGATAAACGGGATCTTCTAAAGATTAACTCCCTGTGTTCATCAAAACTGTTCCCAGTAGAATGAAAAGAAAACCTACTGACTGAGGTGGGGGGGGGGCAGGTATTTGGCAATGATATCTCAGACATGGAGTCATAATGAAAGTTTACAAAATACTGGAAGGCCTGGAGCCTCTGGGTTCAACCAGCCATCCCCACTGGACCCACCTGGGAAAACACTTTGCAGTCCAGAGGGGAGCAAATGACAGGAAAATATCTTC